AAGTGACAGAAGAGGAAAGAAAGGAAAGGGATAAAAGGATAGAAGAATCAAAGTACAACAGGGAATATGGAAGATGGAGAACAGAAAGGATACCAAAATATCTACAAGAAAAAAGAAAAGGGAAAAAATTGAAAATGATGGCAAGATTTAGATTAGGGAATGAATGGAGGGCAAGCAGATATTGGGTAAAAGAGGATGAGAAGATTATGTGCAGATTGTGTGGGATAGAGAAAGAGACAGGAATGCATGTTATGAGGGAATGTAACTATTCGGAAACGGAAGAGAGGATAGAAGTGTTGATGGGAGAGGAAGGAAAGGGAATGGAATGGATGAAAGAATTATGTAGAAGGAGAGAGCGGTGTTAAGAGGATGTGGTAGTAAGAAGACGTTAATAAAGGTGTACTTGTGTATAGGTGTATTTGTAAAAATGTATATTTGTAAGATGTATTATATTAAAACAGCTCGACGCACCCCATGTATCCCGAAAGGGAAACATTATTTTAAATAAAAAAAAAAAAAAAAAGAAGAAGAAACTTGACACGTGACAAAAACAAATAAACCTTATTTACTTTATATTTCCAATAAGAATAAAATAATATAACTTATTTTACAAATATAGAAAAAAAAAATATAGAAAATAAATTTAAAAAAAAAATGTTTAATATTATAAAATAAAACAACGAAAATAGAAATAGATTTTAAAATCGTTGTAATTCAATACCCCATGAAACGAAAAAAATACGACCACAATTGTTCCCTTCTTTAACAGCATCTACAGTTATTAGTTGCAACACAAATAGAAATACTTGAGTATGCTAACCTATGATAAAGATATCTCAAATTCAAAGGAAAAGCGAAAAGAGTGAAAGAAAAAATTCATCTACCTGAGTTAAAAAAAAAAAATATTATATTTACTTCGATTAGGACGACGTATCTTTCTGTCAATAAATATTCTACAATTTTTGTTTCTATCTATGGCTATCGCATTCAGCATTCCGTTTTTATTGCTTGAATTGTGAAAAGTGCACTTTTTATCAGCTATTCCACCCAGAGACCATACCGGTGACTTTTCTTATATATAGTAATAATATTATAATAAATAAATCCTACAATTATCTTACTCTTAAAACTGTTCATTCGTCTCATTCTCTCGAAACTTAGATTTTTGAAGGTTTCACTTCTAACACGTGTGATCTGCACACATGAGTTTTTACTAAGAGAATGTGTGTGTGTAATAGCATTGCAATTGGAAAAAAGCGAGCGCGTTCCATTGAATTTGAAATGTGACACTATTTGATAATATTTCTTTGTACATTATAAATCTCACTACAAAATGCGAGATAGGCTCCTATAAAAACCTTTCTTCTACAAATTCTTCTTATCGCTCTTCTCAAATTTCGCCAGAAAGTTCTCGGACCGTCGTGAGCAAGCGTCTCGCATTCTCTTCAAACTCAATACCCGCTGACATTTTTTTTTTATACATCTTTGTTATTTTACTATATTTTGATTCGTTGTTTTGTACTATTTTAAGAAAAAACATCAGGGAAAGTTGTATTGAAATAACTTAATTTTCCGTAATCACTAATAAACTTTAATGTTTCATACGTTGACATCGGATTGATAGGCTAGAACAGGGGGTCGGCAACCTGCGGCTCGCGAGCCACCTGCGACTCTTTGGATGTGAAGCTGCGGCTCTTTAGTTAAGGGGACACGTCACCTTCGAGTTTAAAAAAAAAGCGGTTTTTATTGTGAATTTTTTTTTGCAGCCAGTTTTATTAATATCAATACAAATCTTTTGTATATGTAAGTTATATATCTGAACTATATTCACAATTTTTTGTGTGTAAAAATATTGTAAATTGTGTTGTCTGTGGCCACTTTGTGGTTTAGTGTATATCTGAACTATATTCACAATTTTTTGTGTGTAAAAATATTGTAAATTGTGTTGTCTGTGGCCACTTTTCTAAGAGTCCAAAAAAAAAAGGTGATTTTCGGTTGCCCTCACTGGCAAAAATTKGTTCATCAGAAACAWAAAAACCGAGTGYTATCCTTTAGTAGAGATGTTGGCGCAGGGAATGAACGGCAGGAAATTTTGATTTTTTAATTTTTCTMRAAATAGTCGAYTTTTTRCGAAARAAWTGACATTTTTGCAGAAAAATCGCCGAGTTTTTGAGAAAAGAAAAAAAAATTGGCATTTTTTCGAAAAATCCTTCCGTTCATTCCCTAGATACGTGTATCTAGTATTACTGTACAAAATTTGGTAAGGATCGGATAAATGGTCTGGACGCAGCGAGGGTAACCGTTTTAAAAACGCGAATAGAAGAAATTAACGTTTACAGTTTTGGACACTTACTTGGAGCGATACGGCGCGCTCAGTTTAAACTACTACTGTTTCGTAAATAATAGGCGGATCTTTACCAAAATTTGAAGAAATAATTTTGAAATAATTTTCTTTCAGAAAATCGAAAAGAAAAATCGATTTTTTTGTTGACCTGTCCCCTTAAAGGAGCTTAGTAAAAAAAAAAGAAAAAAGAAACATTTAAAAATCGTTCTGAATCGACTAACGAGGATTAGGCACAAAAAACTAATGTTATTTATGCGAGTACTATTTATTGTTGGCAAGAAAAAATTTTGTGGCTCTTTAAAAACTTAGAAATTTTGTAAATTTTAATTTTTGGCTCTTCCGACTGAAAAGGTTCCCGACCCCTGGGCTAGAACCACGATGTCTCATACGGTGAGACAGCGGAGTGCAAAGGGTTAAAATCTACAAGCTATAGGTATACAAATATTTTCTTTTTTTTTTTCAAAAATATGATTTTGTCATGTTACAACACGATGAAAACCTTAAAAACTTTCCACGAAACTTTCATTTTTCACCGAACAAAAAGAATTTATTTCAAAAAAAAAAAAGTTTTCCTATTTCCGTTAATTTACTCAAATATTTTAATCTCCATATTAAATATCGCGTAGACATTTGGAAATAGTAAATTGTTCAAATTGGAGGAAATAATGTTAGTAAATATTTTGTTTCTTTCTGTTTGTTTTTTTTTTTTGTTAGGAAACATTTTTTTGTTTCTTTTTTTTTCAAATTAACCGTCATGGCGTTTTTATGAAAACTAATCTATTTTTGATAAAAAAGCAGAAGATACGAGAAAGAATTCAATATGTAAAATAAAAAAAATAAAAAAAATAAAAAAATGAAAAAAATATTCAAAAGAGAAATGAAAAAGTAAATAAATAAAATAACTTACTTTGATACTGAGCTGATGCATCATAAATTGCGATTTGGTTTATTTTTCTCTGGGTTAGTTCGATGATACGAATTCACATTGGTGGTCACATGGCAATTGTGTGGTCGTAGTTTTTTCGCAACGAAAGTTGAGTAGGACAAAAATTATTAATTATGTCGTTTAAGTTGCACTCAGACGTTTCCTTGATGATGCTATTGTTGTAGTATAATTCATAAACCAGGGATTTGCAATCACGAACGTTTTTGACGAACGAACACGTGCACAAGAATTTTTGGAAAAAAGGCAATGAGCTGATAATTCGTTGCCTATAGTGAATTGCACTTTTGATGAGAACGATGCACTTTTCAAAACTATATTTTTTCTCTTCTTTCTTTTTTTTATAGATCGAAAATAATTGAAGTATTGTATGCCGGCAAATATACGGCAAATATAATGAAAAAAAAAAAACGTTACGAAAAAGAGTAACGATTAAAATCGAAACGTTTCGATTTATCGATATCACTGGTAACACGTGAATCGATTATTTTATAATATATAAGCAGAAAATATAATTTATATTTTTTCTATTGTAGATTATTTAAGGTTATGTACGGTTATGTAGTCAATTATATTTCAATACGAATTGATTAACTTCTCGAAAAATAGCGATCGATCTTAAATAACGATGATGAGAAAGAGAATAAGAAGAGAAATGAGAAAATGTCGACAACACTAACTTAACAACGTCACGTTGAGAAATAAACTGGCATGGTAGCCAGTGACAGTGATCCCAGAGACTTTAGTTCGTCTGATCGACACAGGGGCGTAAAATTATCGTACGCCCCGGGAAAATTTGAAATCCGACAAAAATCCAACAATTTCTCGAACAAACTTTTCAAAATGTGGAAAAAGTTTCCAAGTTTGAACTTTTTCAAAGTTGATGACCTTTTTTTTTAGATAGAAAACGTTAACTAATCGTTTAGTCTACTCGGCGGTTCGATAACTACACGAGAAGATCTTCAAATAGAGAAAAAAAATTTTTTTATCATGAAAACCATAAAAACGGCGGTCCGCAGGGAGATAGAAGGCCGCATCGTACACGGATCGTACACGGATCGTACACGGATCGTGTCGTGGTGTGGTGGGGGTGCACCTTTCCTAAATTTGTAGACGAAAAAAAAAAAACGTCATCAAGTTTTCGAAATTCCAAATGGATCGTACGCCACGAATTTTGAATTGTACATAAATAACTGAGTGATCTAGGGTGCGCTGCAACCGAATCGCGAATCGCGTAACAAAAACAAAATCAAGACATATCGAAAATTATATTTAAATATCGAATAATCAGAAATTATCGTACAAGGCTTCAAATTATGTGACGTGTACGATAATTATCGTACGAATGGGATCACTGGCCGCCGGCGGTATGCATCAATGGAGATCCGTTTTTGTCAAACTTGGAAGAGAGGGCAGCACCAAAATTTACGAAGAAAATTAATATTTTAGGTGGAATGTTGAACAATTAAAGAACAAATTAAAAAAGAGTGGTCTTTGTACTATAAGTATAAAAAATATTTTGCAAGAACAATGAGTATTATATATATTATCATATAATAATCTCATTATCACACGATTTTCCAAACAATAATTAATTTAGACAATGTTTCATTAATTTAAATAATTTTGAAGAAAATAATTATTATTTATGAATTAGGGTAATATTTTGTGGTCAAAATAAAGAGTTATCCAACTGCACTCTCAAGACCTTGATTAACTACTCAATTATTTATTAGAACAACATTTCTTTTTTATTTTTAACATCTTAAAGGCAAACTATTGAAATGACCTCACATTAGACTCTTTTGTGACTTTTTGGTGACTAGCAAATATGAACATAGTCATTGGAGAACCTGTCCAAATAGAATGGTGTCTGAATGATCATTACAGCAACAAACACTTTTTATGATAGCAAAAAATTTCTGAAAACGATAAACATAAAAATGTTAAAATAGTAAAAGAACGATAAACGATACAAGATAAGAACAATAATACATACTTCCAGTTGATCTTGATTAAGGTGAGACGTCAATAAATAAATATTCGTAGTTGCATTCTTTGTGTAAAAATTCTTCCAGTTCAAGAGTTGCTTGTAAGGTCATTTTCAATATGGTAAGAGTACTGGAAGTGATTGCGAACAAGAATTTTTTAACTTCTTCTCTTTCATTTGCAAATTTCTCCTTCTTGTGTTCCGGCTTTTTTTCTTAAGTAGTTTTTTGTCATTAGCTTTAAATTCCAACATTTTTAACCCTTTCACTGCGGTAAACGTATATATACATTCTTAGAAGTCCATCAATATATACGGTAGACGTAAATATACGTTCTGCGAAATCCATCAATATGCACGGTAGGCGTATATATACGTTCTTAGGAGCCCATCGATATATACAGCAGACGTAAGTATTCTAGACTACAAGAGTTCTATGGGCCCTGTCGATAAGACGAACATGGTTATTAGTACTATTGAATGTACAAGAAAAATCTATAAATGGTATAAACCATTTTTTGTTTATTTGTTAGATTTTGTAAGTATTTGGAACTTCTATGTAATATATAAATACAAATCAGGTAAGGAGTTATCGTTCGCGTCATTTCATTTATTACTTATAACTGAAATATTTGGGAAATATCTAAAAACATCAGCTGCATACCGAAGAGGTAGTAATATGGATGGTAGCCCATTACGTCTTATTGAAAGGTATTGTTCAAGCAAATATATGAATCCGTCTGCCAAAAAAAAAAAAAAATCCTCTTCGAAAATGTGCAGTATGCAGTAATCACAGAATTGGTAGAGAAACCAGGTATGAATGCAAGGAATGTAATGTAGCGTTATATGTTGATCCATGTTTTAGGATATACCATACAGAAGTGGATTATAAGATTTCTTCTATTATATTTTTGTTAGCTTTATTCGTTTATAATGTAAAATTGTTTATCATTCTTTTTTTTTTATATGTAATTAGCAACTGTTATTGATGAAATCTGTAAGTTGAGTTATGTAAATTAGGATAGCATAAAAGGCTACTTAAAATAAATAAGTAATAGATATTTTTAATTCACTTGCGACGATTGCTTTTTAAGTCCTACGAATAATTTCAAATCTCCAGGTACTGTTTTGGTCACTGGTTGCGCGGAGTAACAACCGACGTGCGTATAACGCGCTGTCCCTGGTCCTGGTGATGGATTACTCCGAGACCGTGCCATAGTGAATATTCTAGAAAGTCACTTATTACCTAGCGAAATTCAAGATTATTATTTTCTTATTTCAAAATGCTTCAGAAGTAAACATTAGTAAAAAAAAAAAGAAAGTATTTGAGTTGTTCAGTTAGGATAGAGGTATTGCAATTTAGTAGAAAACAGGGTGTAGGGACTATTTATATCTCAATTTTATTAATTTTA